GCCGACGAACGCACAGCCGAGGACAAGGTGCCGGACCCCGGGACGGACCCAAGCGTCCTCACATCCTCCACGAGCCAATCCGAAGACAGCTCTAGGAGGGAAAAGAACCGCAAGGCCGAAGCCAAAAGGCCCCGGGCGCGCAAGTCCTCCGCAACGAGTGCCGCCGAAAGGGTGGTAACCTGCACATGGAGCTGAATAACGCCCACATCGCGGGGAAGGGCAGGGGCAAACAAGCACTCATTCAGGTACTCAAGCTCGCCCCCCAGGAAAACCTGAAGCACCGTGGAAGCTTCCCGCCACTCCAGCGTGCGGGAACGACAGAAGAAATGCCAGGAATCCAGAACAAACAAGGGACAGTCTGCTAGCCAGGACGACTCCGGAACCTTGTAACAGAGCCAGAAAGGGAACGAAGTCCCAACCCTGAATTCGGACGGATCCATTTCCGAGGCATAATCCGGGTCACGCAGGAGGTAAGCTGCAAAGGCCGCTCGCACCACACCAGGTTGGATGCGATAAGCCGAAAACCTCCAGAAGGACGGAACCGAACCTGGGGAGGGGCTGACACCAAATCCAACTCGTACGCAGAGGGGGGAAAAGAAAACCCAACTCCTTGTAACAATAAGCCCCGCTCAGAGGGAAGAAAAACCCAGGCAGGGTCCAGCGGGGCCCAAGGCCCCCAAGTCAGCCCCTACCCAGCCTCGAGGTCCTTCACCACAGGACCCGAGGCCGAGTCCTCTCCCCAAGCCCCGACCCCACAAGACAAGGACAGAGCAGCCGGAAAAGCTGGAGGAAGGGGGGCCCACTGGTCAGACCCAGAAGCTTCGGCCGGGAGACAAGACTCGAATGCCTCTGCCGTCCCCCCCCCCCCCCGAAGCTGCCCGAGTCTCAAGATCAAGTAACCCCTGCTCCGACCCCGAAACCCTCAGATGCTTCCGAGCCGGAAGCAGGGGGGGTGGGGGCGACCAGAACGAACAGAAGGGGAAGGACGAGGAGGTGCGAACTGAACCAGGATCGAAGCGACCCCCACCCCAAAGTCCGGGTCTCGAAAAGCAAAGCGGGGCAGCCCCGGGGCATCCGGGTGAGCAACCAACCGAGCACGTTGCAACAGATGAAACCTAGACTGCAACGCACACGCCGCCTGTACCCGAATAGAATCATCAGAAGATTGGGACAAGCAAGCAGCAACACTCACAGGACTCAGGGTCGAAAGTATCACCGACCCAACAGGCAGCGTGGCAGAGGCAAAAACAATGAGGGTCACCCTGACACAAGGGGACCGAGCAACCCTCAAACTCGCACACAGCGAGTGGGGACTCCGGGGTCACATCCATCGGACCCACGCGCCCCCTAGGGGATTCCCAGGGTCCTGAGCATTTACTTTAAGAGGACTCGCGCTCAGGTAGTCCCAGGCAGGGTGCTGCAAACCGGCACCCAAAACTACCAAGCAAACTTTTATAGCTGAACCCCAGGGACGTGTACACTCACAGGGACCTAGCAGGGGGCGCCACCGAGGAGAACAGTGGAAGGGCAAAAACAAACTGAATAAAATGACAGAACCCCCCACCAGGCAAAAACAAAAACAAAACCCCGCAAGAGGACAGTGAACCCCAAGGAACAGAGCCAGCCGCGATGTCGGGAATACAAGCTGTGTAGCACCCTGCGCCCCTACCAGTGCAAACTGCCTCTTACCTGCCGGTAACAAGGGAGAACAGAACACCCAAGAGCCCAACAGGCGGCTGAAAAACTGAAAGGTAAAACAGACCAGCAGAGGCAGACCCCGAGGAGCCTGTGGAAGGTGGCCCCAAGCCCCAAGGGCAGTACTTACAGGGCACCTAGGGAAGGCAGTACTTACAGGGCACCTAGGGAAGGCAGCCCTAGGCGCATGCAGCCCGAGTACTGAAGATAACTCCTGGCTCTCACACCCACAAAACCAACACCACACGCAAAGCACAGTGCAGTAGCGACACTGGAGCCAGAGCACATGACCATCGCCTATAGCATCAGCCTCAAGAACTGAGGTGTGGGTAGCCGGCATGGAGGGTCTGGGGCTCCCCCTTCCCCCTCCCGGGGAGGAGGGAGCTGCGCAGACAGCGGCGCGGCGGTGTGTGACGTCACACTAGTTTGCTTGTTTTCGGTTGGGGGAGTTCTATCCACTAGTTCGGCTCTTGGTAGCAATTTTAACCAGAATAGGGATTTGTTTTGAGGCGCTTACCTTTCTGGGTGCCTGTTCCGGTCGATGGCAGACATAGAATGCTTCCAACCATACAGGGGCTTCTATAGGCCATTGCTCCCCTTGCCTCTCTGAGGGGGCCCGGTTCTGGCCGTGGTCCCCGGTAGGCCTAAGAACTCCATACACATGACTGATGCCAAAGTCTGACATTAGCATATCAGCCTAGGATAGCTCCGGGAAGCCGACGGGGCTCCCCCCCAGAAAAAAATGACTGCGTAGCTGTTGTGTCCTGTGGCAAAGTAAGGCAAAACAAGCAAAACAAATAGTATGAACAATGAAACTTTAATTAAATTGAAAACAAATTATGAACAAAGACAATTCCTTGGCTATGGACAGTGCAAACTAGCAAGATTATAAAGTAAAAAAATAACGTAAAATAAAAGAGTGGTGACGTTACTCTAAAATGGATAAAGACAAAAATGAAATTAACAGGTGCTGAGAATAAAGTGCTGGCTGAGAACATCCACTAATAGACAGAGCGTATATCAGATGGTTGTGTCAGCTTTGAGAGCACAGGATATTCTGAATTCAATGGCTGGTACAGGCTCCGTCATCGGCTATGTAGATGGCGCTGAAGTGAGGGGGTGCAGAGGTGCAGATGTCGATTCACCAATCAGAAGCGGGCTGGCTGGAAGTGGTGGTTTGGTGATCGACGAGGGGGGGGAGGAGGTGGAGAGCGAGTGTCAGATACGTATGCGCCTGGCAAAACGTATTTTACTCAATATGTACTACACTTGCTTGTAGTATCTAGATGTTGTAGATGTACTGAAGTAACATGATGATAGGAAAGAGCAGGCCAAATCTCTCTTGAAGGAGATTATCGTAACAACATAAATTAGCATGATACATGGTAAATATGTGCAACATATGTGTACACAAGTGTCATGCACGTAACACAGTGTCCTCGGACAGTACGGATGTTTTACTGCCATAATGTAGTGTACATGTTCATTATACATAGGATTAGCACGTAAAAACAAATAAAACGTATTTGGAACTGTGCGCAAAAAATGTACAAAAATATATTCACTGCAACTCGCGCGCCCTGCCCCCAGGCGCCCTACTGGCCCCGGGAGAGTACGTCACGGGTGAATGTGGAATGATGACGTCACGTACCAACTTACGGACCCCATAGCAGTCAAAGTAAGTATAATTTCGAAATTTTTTTTACATACTCATACTGAGGGAAGGGTTTTTGACACTTTAAAAAAACAAAAGAATTTTTTCAAGATAATTTATTTCTTGCGCACTGGGGAGTGTCATATTTGGAGGCGATGCAGTTAAAGGGTTAATGAACTGTACAGTAATTTTAAGTGTTAATTTTAGTGTTGTGTTAGTATAGGTTACGTAAATTGTCAAGAATTCTTTACTTCAAGATGTGTGGCATCAATCAAGAAGACGAACAACAACAAGGTAAGTTGAGGTTTCTAGTTGAATATTTTATAATTATATGTGGCAAGGCAATTCAAATTATGTTGTTTGTGGTATAAAAGTAGTTGGAGATGGTCACTTTGGGACTCAGAGGTGAAAAAGTACATTAATCCGGAAAACGTGATAATCCGGCTAGGGGTCCTACCCATATAGTCCAGATTAGCGAGTGGATACAGTATTTCCAATGTTTCATGTTCACTTATGCATATTTATATCATATTTACACACACTATACACTATCACAAACTATATACATACACCATCAACACACTCAGAACTCCGCGAGTGAGAGCTGCAACACAAAGTCAGCCCTCCCTCACTCCTCCAACACCTTACTCGTCAACATTCTTCCTCCCACCATACTGTTATTTTTTTATTACACTATTTACACACATTATAAATAAGTATCTACATGTTTTGTTTGCCATAACTATAAAACTAAGCTGGTATTTTGTCCAAACAGCACAATGGTCACCATATACTGCATGACAAGTCACACAGCAGATGACAACGCTGCGAGCACGATACCACCTGCCTCACCAAAATGGCTTCTCCCAACATACTCCTGTTGCTGTTATTACACTATATACACATATTGTATATACCCATGTACAAATGTGTTCACCATAGCAAACCACTAAGCTAGTATGGTGATCCCACAATGCTACACACATATGTACATGGGTATATACACACATTGTATATACCCATGTATATATGTGTTCACCATAGCAAACTACTAAGCTAGAATGGTGAGCAAAACAAGAGTGGCTGCCACACACAGTGATGCTACCTCGATTCCCTCCCTCCCTCACCAAAATTCCTCCTCCCACAATATTACGCACAGCCCTAATTATCACCACAATCCTGCTATTTTCACAATCCTGGTCACTAAACCCTGTAAATGAATAATTGACCACAAGTTTATTTGTAAAGGAACATAAGAACTCGTTTGGAGATTCCTAGATGGACAAAATAATGCTGTGGTGTTATGGCTAAAGCTGTGAACATCTTGAACAGCATTGATTCACTGATATTAGAACATTGTAAAATCATTATCACACTCAGGCTGTTCTAAAATACTATCATGGCTAAATAATACCAGTTACACCTATATTTTGACATTATTAGGGGATGCTGTGGTCACAAGCTGAACTGCAGTGCTGTGAGCTCATGCTGCATGCGCCAGCCTTGGTTGCTCACTCGGTACCAAGGCTCTCACACCCGGGAATGTTGCCCACAAATTTTTTTTTAAATGGCGCCTGTTTACAAGAACCTTGAGGAAGCTGATGTGAACCCCATGTAGCCGCAGGAGTTTTGAATCATAAACTATACTTACTTATAAGATCCCCAAAGCGCGTTGCGCACCACCCATCAAGCGCCTACAGATGCGTTGCTCAGTGCAGTGGTTAATCTAACATATAATTTTAAGAATTATAAGATAATTTCTTGCAAAATTTAAAAAATGTTTACAGATACATTGTAAGAAAGTATAAAAATACATTGTAAGAAAGTATCATCTCAAGATAACCTCAAGATAAAAATACATTGTAGGGAGGTATACAAAATACATTTTAAGAAAGTATAAAAAAATACATTGTATACAAAATTTGACACAAAAAACTTAGGTACACTAAAGTAAATTTAAGGGTTATCCACAGGTACATTTTAGCATAATTTGAGGATTATTGCAAGATATAATGTAGCAAACTATGTGTATAATATGATACAAGATAGCAGCAATGATCACAATGCTAAAGTTGTGTGACATCGGTACATATATTGGGGGAATAGGGTAGTACTAGACACAGTGCAAGTTTCAAGCACTACGAAGGAAATTATGAAGATGAAATTAGATACTTTTGGTTTTATTTTTGAATAAGGCAAAAGTTTGACAGCTTTTCAATTCGTTAGGGAGTGAGTTCCATAGACCAGGTCCCTTTATTTGCACAGTGTTTACACTCTATGTAAAGAGTGGAAATATCAAAGATATTTATTTCTGGTGTGGTGATTATGTGTTCTATTACATCTGTCCAGGAAGAGTTTCAGAACAGGGTTTGCACTTAAGAACAGGGTTTTGTAAATGTAATTGGCACAAGAGAATGTGTGGAGTGAATTTATGTTTGGCATGTTTAGGGATTTAAACAGGGGGGCTGTGGGTTGTCTGAAAGTAGAGTTTGTTATTGTTCTGATAGCAGATTTTTGCTGGGTGATGATGGACTTGAGGTAGTTTGCAGAGGTTGAACCCCATGCACAAATACCATAAGATAGGGATAGATTAGTGCATAATATAGTGAGAGGAGAGCAAAGTAAGGTACATAATATCTGATTTTAGAGAGTATACCAACTGTTTTAGAGACTTTCTTAGTTATGTGTTGTACATGGGTGCTGAAGTCGAGTCTCATGTCTAAGTATAGGCCAAGGAACTCTCCATTTTTATTGCTGATGTTAACATTGTTTATCTGAAGCTGAATTACATTTGTTGATTTGCCTCCAAATAAGATGTAGTAAGTCTTTTTGATGTTTAGTGTGAGTTTGTTGGTTGACATCCATCAGTGGACTTGTTTTAATTTATTATTTACAACATTATTTAATATGTGTGGGTTGGGGTCCAAGCAGATTAGGGTAGTATTGTCAGCAAATAATATAGGTGTAAGAATGTTAGAGACATTAGGCAGATCATTGATGTACAGTATATAAGAAATAGTAGAGTCCCTATGATGCTGCCCTGTGGCACTCCTACGTTTAATGGGAGAGGTTATATCATTGAAGGCTATATATTGGTGTCTGTCATAGATAGGATCGGATATACAGTGATACCTCGAATAACGAATTTAATCTATTCCATGTTCGTCATGTGAAACAGATGTCATACAAAACGAATGTTCCCATTTAACCATTGTGATGCACTGTGTTTATTGTAAAATTCCCCAAGTGTGCATGACATCAAATGTTCCCAAAAAATAATTTTCCTTTGTAAAATGATAAATTCCCTTCCCTGAACATATCTATGTAAAAATAATTACCAAATTCCACTAACTTTGGCTGTGAGGACGTGGACAAGGTGCGCTGCGATGTCGTCAGGGGCTGGTCGCCCATGTGTGAAGCTCCCAGACACAGTCGCGCGGGCCATTCAAGCACCGCGAGTTGCCAGAAATATATTTTCAAATATTTGTTCTATGTATTTCCAATGCGGTTTTATTTGTTTCTTTTATCGTATATGATACATATTTGTGACCTTTACAATATGTATACAGTAGAATGTTCATAATTTTCCATGGAACTGTGATATATGTGTCAGTAATGTGTCCACAATAAATGTTTATTGTCACAATATTACATGGTAAAAATTCACTAAAATTACAATATGTACAGTTTCACATACTATTTACACAGTAACACACTGTATTACACACTCAGTACTTTGGAGGTGCGTAATAATCAACGAAGTAGTCCGTGGTACACAGCACGACTTTGCTCTCGTTGCACCAGCTACAGATAGATTTTTGCTTCCTGTTTCAACGTTCTGTGTGCTTGCAAATAATGCACTCGCGTGCACCCTTGGCTTTAGTACTTGTAGGTGGTATGTAGCCAAACTTGTAAAGCATAAGGTAGTATTGAAACGATTATAGGAAAAGCTCAATTTGTAAGGTAGTCTTGAAAAGATCGCTTTGTAAGGTCCCACACAGGAAGAGATTCAGCTAGCCTCAAAGAGTGTCCGTCAGTCAGGAAGAGATTCAGGTATTCTTGAAAATATCTATGGAAAACACCACCATGGAAGCCGCTAACACTGTTCATCTATGCTACTTGTATCAGATGCATCATCACTGAACGCAGAAAACGATTCATCTATTTTTTTTTTTTTTTTTTTTTTTTTTTTTAGATATATACAAGAGTTGTTACATTCTTGTACAGCCACTAGTACGCATAGCGTTTCGGGCAGGTCCCTGGAATACGATCCCCGCCGCGAAGAATCATTTTTTCATCCAAGTACACATTTTACTGTTGCGTTAAACAGAGGCTACAGTTAAGGAATTGCGCCCAGTAAATCCTCCCCGGCCAGGATACGTACCCATGACATAGCGCTATGCCAGGTGAGTGTCTTACCACTACACCACGGAGACTGGTAAATGTATCTATGTATCATCTATATAAATTGGAGATGGCAAGGGTGGGGCTCAGAGCTACAGCTGGATACGCTTGCTGTATCATGCTCATAGGTGCTGTATCACTTGCATCCGACCGTTGTGTTAAGTCCTTATTGCACCTAACTTCACCAATATTATGACCCTTATGTTCTTCAAACAATAAGGTCTGAATTTCACCGACTGAGCACAATCTTTCAACACCGTGTCGGACAGGTGTTTGGGAGCCAAAGGTACGTGTGCCACAAATGGTTGCTCACTCAGTACTAACCCAGCCAGCAGCCCTAGTCTTTCACATTCGTTATAGCAAAAGGTTCGTTCAGTGTTTGTCGGGTAGGCTGCTCCATTATGACAATCTTTCTTTGTTTCAAACGTGTTCCATTTGTTTTGTATTTGTCACTTATATCTGCACTCTGCACCAGGCCCGGATTCTTGGAACTCCATATTCATAAAGAACTGTAAAAAACCACTATCGCAGGCCCTCCACATTCTGTGGAGACAAAGCCTAGATACTGGCGTTATTCCTGATATACTAAAAACAGCAGAGATAGCACCACTTCATAAAGGAGGAAATAAGGCAGAGGCAAAAAATTACAGACCGATAGCACTAACATCGCACATCAAAAAAAATTTTGAGAGAGTGCGTTAGAAGTAAGATCACAAAATACATGGAATCTCAGCATCTCATAACCCCGAACAACATGGTTTCAGAACAGGGCACTCTTGCCTGTCGCAGTTGCTGGACCACTATGATATGGCATTAGATGCTATGGAAGACAAACAAAACGCTGATGTAATTTACACAGATTTCGCAAAAGCTTTTGATAAATGTGACCATGGTGTTATTGCACATAAAATGCGTTCAAAAGGAATTACCGGAAAAATAGGCAGATGGATCTACAATTTCCTGACCAACAGAACCCAATGTGTAATAGTCAACAAAATAAAATCCAGCGCATCAACCATGAAGAGCTCAGTCCCCCAGGGTACTGTGCTTGCTCCAGTACTTTTTCTCATCCTCATATCGGACATAGACAAGAACACAACCTATAGCACTGTATCATCCTTTGCAGATGACACTAGGATCTTCATGAGAGTAGGCTACATAGAGGACATGGCAAACCTCCAGTCAGATGTAGATCAGGTCTTTCTATGGGCTACAGAAAATAATATGGCGTTTAACGAAGATAAGTTCCAGCTCATGCGCTATGGAAAAAATGAAAATATAAAAACGGAAACTACATACAAAACTCAGGCAAATCATAACATAGAACGAAAAGGCAATGTAAAGGATCTGGGTGTACTCATGTCGAAAGACCTTACCTTTAAAGAACACAATAAAGTAGCCGTCACAACTGCAAGAAAAATGACAGGTTGGATAACAAGAACTTTTCACACTAAGAGATGCTATACCGATGATGATACTTTTCAAAACGCTTGTGCTCTCTAGAGTGGAGTCCTGCTGCACAATGACAGCCCCTTTCAAAGCTGGAGAAATTGCTGACCTGGAGAGCGTGCAGAGATCCTTTACTGCTAGAATCCACTCAGTAAAACATCTAAACTATTGGGACCGACTAAAGAGCCTAAAACTGTACTCCCTTGAGCGCAGGCGGGAGAGGTACATAATAATTTACACGTGGAAAATATTAGAGGGGCTGGTCCCAAACCTGCACACAGAAATAACATCACATGAGACCAGAAGACATGGCAGGATGTGCAGAATACCCCCGTTGAAAAGCAGAGGTGCAACACGTACTCTGAGAGAGAACTCAATCAACATCAGAGGCCCGAGACTGTTCAACACGCTTCCACTACACATAAGGGGCATAACTGGCCGACCCCTCACAGTGTTCAAGAGAGAACTGGATAAGCACCTCCAAAGGATACCTGATCAACCAGGCTGTGACTTATACGTCAGGCTGCGAGCAACCGCGTCCAACAGCCTGGTTGATCAGTCCAGCAACCAGGAGGCCTGGTCGACGACCGGGCCGCGGGAATGCTAAGCCCCGGAAGCACCTCAAGGTAACCTCAAGGTATGTCTTAATAATGGAGCAGCCTACCCGACAAACACTGAACGAACCTTTATGGCATTTGTTCATTTTTCAAATCGTTTCAACAGTTCTTTTATTTTTTGTTTTTTGTTTTTATTTAAGAAACGTGGAGCAGCCTACCTGCTGACCACCGAACGAACCTTTTGCTATAAGACAAAAGGAAAAATAAATATTGAACACATTTGAAGAAAGGAAAATGTCATAATGGTTTGTTCAGT